ACACACTTCCAAGAGATTGAGTTCACAGAAGAACCATAAATTATATGGACTTTTGAACGCATATGGGCAGGTAGATCCTATGCTTGGAATATCCTAGCTAATCCCTACTCATACTACAGCAAATCATTTGCATTTGATGTACACAAACAATTCATTCGAAAGAACGAGGAGAACGGTTGCATGAACTAAACTATCACTTGGTGTAGCAAGTTCATTGAATGTGTGAATCAAATCGTGGATGAAGCCCAGGCTTTGCAGAGCCCGAATATCAACAATAAAATCAAATAAATGAATATAATTCCCAAACAAATAATGTATATAAAATGTATGGCGTTTCCAATCTCACCACTGCTCACCACAATCAGTCAAAGCATTAATGTGAATGACGCATAACAAAGTGACTTTGACAGCACACGCATATGAATTGTTGCCATGTTTACAGTCGGAAATGTCAATGCAAAATCTCCAGTATCCAGTTTCACTCTACTTTACCAGTTCAAAAGAGAACAGCTCTTGGAAACCCATTTGAAAGTTTAACGATAAAAAAAGGAGGAATTCAAGATTGCTTATGCTTTTCCATTGATAAAGCCATAACTTTTGGTAATTATAAACAGCAACAGTTTGAACGTTGGATTTGCATAGATTCCTAAAACGTAATTATATAAAGAAAATATGTGGTTTTTGAACAAAATTATCCGGAAATATTTGAAAATCATACCGAAAACCATATAAAAAACATGGAATTTCATTTGATCGCTCATTTTTTCCAGGAACTACTGAGACCATCAAGTGAAGAGATGAAACTAACCGACCTGAATTTGGATTGTCTCGAAAATATTTTGGGATATTTGGGATTCGGCGATTTTTTGGATGTAGCATCGTCAAATAAGCGACTAAACACAGCTGCCGGTTTGGTTTACGTTCGAAAATATCAGCAAAAAAAAAGTGAGCACCGGAGTCATTGAAATCTCTGAAATCCGATTATTTACAATTGGATACTACTGGATAGTAGTAAGTGATTTGAAGACATGTCTTCAGCTTTTACGTTGTTTTGGCCGTTTTATCAGTAGAATCGACTACTATCTAACCGAATATTGCGCCAGAAGCGATGCATGTTTTTATGAATATGTTTTAAGTTATATCAACGAATATTGCAATGAAACTTTATCTGAACTTGGACTTATACGCGTTCCAGAAGATTGTTTAAAGGCCTTCATCAAACCATTTGTCCGAGTCGAGAAAGTTTCAATTCGATTCTGTTGTTTGGATGTTAAAGGGGATTGGTTCAAGAGCTGTTTTCCACAAATCAAACAGTTGATAATTCGATAAAATGGGGCTAAATCTCGTGAATTTGAAATACTTGCGCATAATTTTCAATATTTGGAAGAAATAGCAATTAAAATAGGTGGGTATATGGATAATCCTAGAGAAGGGATTGATCATTTAGAAACAATGCTTCGGTTGAATCCACAATTGACAGCATCTTTGAAAGAATATTTAATTCAGAAGATACGGCATTTGGAATGGCAATTGAATAGAAGGCGTTCAAGGTATTGAGAAAAAATATTCTTCTATTGTAAGCAATCATTTTTTTTAGAATAGTCAAAAGTAAGTAGTAAAATATGTAATTGGAAAAAAATGAAAATTAAAAACAAAAGAAAATTCCGATATTTCTATTTTTTTGCGTTTTAAATTAACAACTTTTGTGCCCAGCTTTAGTTGACTTCTTCAAATTACAGATAAATCCCGTGTATCATCTCCCTTTGTATTGTTTTTTACATCGAAGGGCGTTGCACGCACCTTAACATTCACAATACAAACTCAATGCGAGTGGAGACGCCTTATGAAATAATGGCACAGATTGCTAGTGCTAAGGTTTATCTGTACTTTTGATACACTGCTATTTTGCTTCGGTCATTAAAAATAAAGAGATAAACCGTAGATAGTGACCGTAGATAAAAAACAACACATAATCGACTGGAATCGGGAATATCATATCATTTTTTTTCAATGAAATCTCGAAAAAAAGGGAAAAAGCGTTGAGTTTTATTCATTTTTCGAATTTTTATTTTTCATTCTTTTGCTTGATTGAAAATTGGCGTGAGAAAGAAAACTGAAAACTGTGAACAAACTGTGAATGGAAAAATTGGACTTATACGCGTATTTTTTCTGGAGAAACTATGACCGAGTCGACAGATTGGAACTTCACTTTTTTAATAATTTATTATACTGGGATTTCTTCCAGTTGGTTTCAGTTTTTTTTTTAGAAAAATACGTCGACGATAACAAAACTATCAATTTAAACTTGTTCAGTTTAGTTTTTTCTTCACTTTTATTTTTCAAATTTTGTATACTACTGTGTTTATTCGCTTCATCCTCGTCGAATACCATTGATTTTATATGTAAAATAACCAAACGAAACGACAAAAGTGACCTCTCGTAGCGGCACATTTGAAACTAACGAAACAAACACAATTGAACATGTCATTTTCATGTTCAGTGTTGGTTCTGTTGTTTACCGTATAGCCGGAGAGAGATGTCTACAGCTTAGTGGCGTTGAATGACATTCAACGCCCATGATTCGCTTAACTGAATTTTCTCAAGGAAATAACGATGTTCACGTTCATTCCATTTGTTTTTCTATTTGGTCGGAAATTTTCGGTTGAATATTAAACGATATCGTTGATCTCTCTCACGATTTTAACCTCTGTTACGCATAGTCGGACAATTGTGATTTCCCCTGTATCTCTCTGGAAGCAACCGTAGACAATGTCTACATTGGTAGAATTCAAACACCACATTTCTCGGGTTGTGGAGTCGACTAATTGGTAAAAGAAATGATTAACTATGTTAGTTTTGAACTGCAATCGCATTGGAAATATTTCATTACTAGACGAGTCCATTTTCAAAAAGCTGAACGCCAATTTCGAATAGGGTATTTCCATCTATGATACTACATTGCATAGCTCGAAAAGAACCTAAATACCAAAATCCATTTCCCAAAAAACAAATCACGGTTTGACCTATTAGCCTTGTGTCCAAATACATAGTTCCGTTATTCAATAAATCTGCTAGCATTCGGTCGAAAAATCTTTGATTTGCTTGCATTTTGAGGATATTGCTTTACTTTAAACGATTTTCACTTCGTCTTGTTTTTTCAACTAACTGAATGACTGAAATTTGTTCTCACACAGAATACTAGATTTGCCGATTTTCTCTTCAATATTTTCGACATATTTTTCAAATAATTAGAAATCCAAATCATATCGGCTGCTTCGATTTTCGCCATTTGACGATCACCATTATTGAATAATTGGTTTAAGCCATTAATAAACCCCTGACTTGTACAATATGCAGATTATTAAATTACGATTTATCTAGCAGCATGATAGCCATGGGAATTCATTGATTTTTAATCGAAATGACTCTGAATTCAAATTCATACTGTTTTAGGTGAATACAAATTTTGGAATTGTTTACATTGTTTGATTTCCTCATCCGATAAAATATCGAATTCATGGCTTTCAATGCATTTAATCTGCGTGTAGTTACAGTACCGACTCTTGTCTATTGAATAGAATTTTAAAAGGAAATAATAACTAATGCCAGTAATTAATAAATCCATCATTCTGATTCAAAAGTCAAGCTCATTACATTCGACTGGTGCAAAGTGTGAAGTGCAATTGCAGCACTCTAAATCATGTTGAACTCGAGCATGAATCGCACACGAGTTGAAGCCGTAAGGATGAGACGCGTTTGAAGGCCAACGCTCATTGAACAACCGACATCGTCGTTACTCAATTGATAAGTCCCCTGCGGTCATATCATTCTCTATTTGCGCTGTCTAGGCGGGAAGAATGACAACAAATGTATGAAATTTTAGTGAAATATTACTAAATAATAATGTATACAAATCTAAATGAATTACACGCAATATAGTTTCATAATCCATATGGAGCATTAGGTCTGTATAAAAATCGAAATGTCTAGGTGAATTGAGAAAAAATGCAAAATTAGTTCAAATAAAATCGGTAACTCACATTAACGTGGAACGCTTTCTTATGTAAGTCGAAAGTAAGAGTACAAAAGTAACACTTCCTTGATATTGATTGTAGGTCAATGGTAATTTTTCCCAATCGGAATTGCTGCAATCAGAAAAATCCTAGGAAAAATTCTGCGAACGAACGAACGTCGTGGACATCTCTAATGTGCGCACAACATATGCTCTCGCCGTAATTATATGCGTCATCATAATCAATTGTTGGCACGCGGAACCTACCATGTGTCGTATGCACAAAGAAGCCGTTTCATTTTCCTTCGAAAAGATAACAATTTTTTCTTGGAGTGGACAATTGGACATATTTTGTACAAACAATGGTTCGGTCTTTTGATTGAAAATATTGATTTTTAAACCAAACAATTGTCAATTGAATTGAGAATATCGAACTAATATTATTTATTTCATCTGATTATCATCTAACGATATTCGACAGGGTTTGAAACATGTTTTTTAAGTGTTTTTCAAAAACTTTATTTTGCCACACAGAGCCGTTAAAAGGGTATTTTCGTTATATCTGCGGTATTTGTAAACTCGACAAAAAATATAAATAAAGTGACGGAAATAGCAACACATAGAAGATTAATATGGGTGAGATTGAGAGTATACTTCACAGACTTTGTATTCGGAAGACAAGAGTTTGTTTCACATTACATTATTGTGCCCTTTGGTCTGGTCGCTTACCTTTGAACAGTCGCAATATGAAGTAAACAGATATTTTCGTTATTTTCCAAATAGTTTCATGGAAAATCCAAATGAGTTTTAAAGAAACAATACTAAAAACAAGAATATTTGTCTGAAATCGTTTTATTTGAAAATATTTGACACTTAAAATTAAAATACATTCGATCGGATTAATTGATCACTTAAGAACTCGTTCAATTTACAGACAATCGAATCAGATATAATAAAAAAGAATGGAGCAAATCTCTATTGGTAAGCAGTCACATACTAGTACATTGTATGTTCATTTTCTTAATTGTCGAAGATGAATTGAATGCGTAACAATAAAAAAGCGAAATAAACCGTTTTTCTACATAGGTGTTGCTTTTCAAAAGAACAATAACTGTATACGTGTGCTCTAGAGAGTTTGAAATGGTGAAAATGAATCCACGGATCATGTTAGCTATATACCAGGGACAATGCACGTTAAATTTATAGAATGCTTTAAAAAAGTACCGTTTGATCTGGGCATTTTTCTTAATTGGAATCGTTGCGACGTTTAAATGTCAGACGAGTATGTTTATAATCAGACCATGATACTGACCAGACATCACTGAAACCATTCAAAAAATGTTCATTCATTTCACAATAGAAACGTGGGTTTTTGTTGCAGTATATTTTCAAGGGACATGCTAAATTTATAGAAATACTCGGTACGGTATCGAATTTAGACAAAATATTCGTTACAGTTTCATGGACGAGATCTGCGGTACTTCTTCCTCTTTTTTGGAAATGATATAAATGAAATTCAAGTTCCTGTAGCAATGGTAAGGTGTCTACCAACCAAGAATTAATTCGTAGTACAAATTCAACAGCATCCGGAGGAATCATCAATGTCAACTTTTTGATTGATTGGTTTTTTTCACAAAAATCTTTCAATTGACTTACAATTAATGTGTCTTCGTACATTGACACTTGCAATGTAAATGATTCCAGGTGATCAAAGGTTAATTTGACTACAATTTCCATATAATTATTAAAGAATCCCCAATGGCCCATTACTGATCGAGCTGTTAGGTGCTTCACATTCTTGAAATGTGTTGCGTCAATAGTGGAATTTTGATTTAATCGATCCTGTATATTTATGTCTAAGTGTTCAATGTTTTGCAGATGCTCAGCAAAGTCAATATTGTAGGTTAAAAACTCGATTTTTTTCAACTGTGGATTCAAACGAACTACGTCCCTATAGTTTTCATGACATGTGTCGCACGGAAAACGCTCTGAAACATATATGCTTAACTCTTCTAAGTTCGGAAAATGATTTGCAATGCACCCAGCGTGGATAAATGGAGAACACATGAAGGCAATCAATAGTGATCGCATCCGCGGAAACAGTCGAATCAGACAATTTCTATCTGGATTTGTATTCGAATTAAACGTTCTTGTCCTGTTTGTTATGCAAAGCCGTTCCACCTGTTTGAATGGCTTGTTGAAATTCGCCAAAGTCCTATTCCAATTACTGAAATTAAATTTCAGTGTTCCAATCGTTTCGCTGCAGAATTCATTGATGTAATCGATAAAATGATATTCCACCTCCGATAAATCCTCGTTGAATCCAACTGCACCATCATAAAAACAATTTATAGAAGGAAGCAGGCTTCCGAAGCATCGCAATAGTTGAAAAGCAATTTTTGGCCTTTCTATCTTATAACATTTGGTCGTCAAATCTCCATGGAACGGGTCGAAGTATGCCCACAAACACAAATATCTCAATGGATCCGATTGTTTTGGCAATTCTTCTATAATCAATGGCATTTCGCCGTACTTTCGCAAAAACACCAATCTGGCAGCACGGCGTAATCGTGTGCTCGTATCGGCTGCATTTAGAAGATCCACGATACCCAAAAACTCCAAAATTGCTTCGAGACAGTCAATTTTAAGGTCGGTTAGATTCATTTCGATTTTTTTTAACCAGGTTTGACGACACGGTTCTGTTCAAAATGAAGAGAAATTTTTGTTAAATTTATTTCTTGACTTTAATTTCAAAAATGAAACTGCAAAGAAGAAAGAGCTCACTTTTAAGAAAAAAATACAGCCAATTTCGATTAAACTACAGTATCTCGTTGAGTTTACTTTGTGTATGATTTTGTTGGAATGCAAATGCCTGTTCACTCTGAATCTAAGTTCACTTATTTTATTTTTTTCTAGGAAATGAAGCAGTAGAAAATCAATTTGTTTGTTTCTTTTTCCACAAATTTAGATGTTTGCTCAAAAATTGTTCTGATGCAGAAACCCAAACTTTTGCTTCGAAGTTCAACGCACAACTGAATGCATTTTCCAGTTTTGTGATCGTTTAGTACTATTTTTTGCGAATAGAATGAAAAAGAAAATTGAGCATAACGCAGAGAAAATCCATCGGGATTAACACACACACTAACTACATTGAGTGTCCGAGTGATCCGAATATTCGCTTTACGAATATTGTACTACATAAATGTGATGGATAAATCTTACAGTTAAGAACCATTAATCTTAATTAGGCTCTCCGTCTGGGTTTTGAACTCACGTGTGGTTGAACTGAATATGGTGCGATCGTACGTAGGGCTCAATCACTCACTGGAAAAGATAATTCACAAGTCGAATTCAATGGAACACATCATTTGTATATACATACCTGACATTATCAAAGAGACATAGTTTCTGTTTCTAAGTTTATACACGCAGCAATCACCAACAAGGATTCTTAATGGTTGAATCACCTTCCAAGAAATGTCTAAATGCAATCATTGATGTTACTTTACCTACTCGAACATTTTACATTTTCGAAGAATCGAAACGTGATGAGCAAATTTGTGTCTTTGTTTTTAAAATCCAAATTGACGATGCACACCATAAGAGTCACTCTCACAGAACTAAAGTGAGAGTGGAATCCGTATGTAATAATTATCGGTAAGGTGACCAGACATTCTTGTTCTACGAGAATTTGGTCTCAGTCCTCGCGTTCTCGCAAAATTTTAAAAATTAGCCGCAAAGTTGCAAATCTTCCTCGTTTTCATAATGAAGCACATTAATTCAATGATTTTATCAATTATTGAAGATTTTTACTCAAATATAATGCAAATTCAGTTTTTATCATATGTATTCCGTGCTGAATTTGACTAAATTACCATGAATTCTGAACCATAGTAGCCTTTGCTTGAGCAAAAGGCGCATACGGTGCTAATACTAGTACAAGTACTACTAACGAATTGTGGCAATTTTGCATATGTGAGAGTCTACTTTGTATTATGATGAACGTAAAATAGACGTTATGTCAATACACACATTGGCGTATAAACAAGACTGATTTATTGTGTAATAATTTCGCTCTTGCTTAGAATCTTTCATAAAATATTAAAAAAAAAACAGATAATTTTGTTCTTGTTCGTGATGATTTTGCAATACAGTGTAAACAAGATTGCATGAGATGAGACAAAACATAAGAAAATTTCGCTTTCAAATGGTATTTGGCTGTTCTCGAACGTTCTCACGAATGCGAGTGCGAATGTTTACATAGAAATCAAATGACATGACACTGAGTGCGAGTTTGTGAATAAAAATTCGAATGCCAAACCGATATAGAAGCCCCTAGTAAAGTTGACTCATTTTTAAACTGTGACTTTCTTCGTAAATTATCAAAAATGTCGAAAACAAAATTTCCAAATATTTTATTTTCATGTGAATTATCAAAAATACTGAAAATATTATTCATATAGACTATCTGATATAGTATATTTTAAGAGCTCGCACCGATGATATTTTTCATATAGTTAGATTTTTTTTTATAATCAGAATAAAAAGAATTACATTGGTAATCCAGAACTTTTCCGTACCGTTGGCATGCGTTGTCTTGGGTACTTTTGGTTATTTTTTGTGAATTTTCTTGAAATAAAGGCAGTGAAAATATAATAAGAATAAAGTGTCGTAATCGGTCACTTTAACTAAAACTTCGACAATTTTGTATGAGAGGTACCCGTGAACCGATTCCTATTGGCTTCAAACTTTCTGAGGTTTCATTTTTTGGAGAAAAAAATAAGATTCTGAAAGTTTCATGTTGATCGCATTTGCAGAAGTTTGGTTTTTGTCCCTCAAAATTTTCCAAGAAAATGTCGACAGGTACCTCCAATACAAAAGTGTCAATTTTTTGAGGTTTTTCTTAGAGCAAGTACCCCAGGATCAATCTTAAACTAAGTTTTTCGAATAAACAACTTTTGGCATTTCCAGATTTACGACGACGACGACAACGACAACGACAATGACGACGGCACACGAACGGAAAAGTGTCTCAAAAAGTGATTTTCTACGCGTTTCATGAGTTTTTATGATGACCTAAGCTTAAAACTCGTACCTAAGACAACGCATGCCAACGGTACGGAAAAAGTTTTCGGGACCAATTCCTATACTTTCCTTTGACACGTTGTGTACGGAAAAGTAATAACAACATCTCGTGAACCAAGGCCTTATTCTAAAATTTAAAAAAAACATTTTTGTTTCTTTTTACTTGAAGAAAAAATTTATCAGGGCTGATTTAAGTTTGGAGAAAAAAAAACAATAACAACGATGTGAATAATCCACCGCGATAACAATACGCTGACGCAATGATAGCTAACCGAAGAATGCAATTTTCTTCAACAAGAGGACAAAATACAATCGTGCGAGCTGATGAGAGTTTGATAAAAGTTTAAAAACAAAATGACTATTACAAATGAGTTGGTGTACATATAAAAGCGCCGACGCTCGAAGCCAAAAATCATATGTAAGTTTGACAGTATTTCATTTTGTTGTGAAGGAAATTTGAATTTCCTCAACAGTTACATTTCGAGCATGATCAAGTTTGCTTTATTTTTATTTTCGTTGCATGTGGCCACAGTAAGTATGCGTTTACGGAATTTTTGAGTTGAAGAAAACTGTCCAGCAAGCTAAAGACTCAATTGCATATGTGTGTGTGTTTTCCAGAGTTTTCTGTTGCAGAATATGCAGGTAGAGGCATCAATTGATCCGAGCGCCCATATCGGTGATTTTACAAATATTGATCCGACTGCGATCATAAAAGCCAATGCACGAATTGGCGATTTCGTATCCATTTATCGGCTCGTAACGGTTGGAGAAAACAGTAAAGTCGGCAATTTTGCTAGAATCGATTCGAGTGTGATTATAAAGGCCAATGCACGGATCGGTGATTACGCATCAATTGATCGGTTCACATCAGTCGCAGAAAAAAGTAAAGTCGGTGATTTTGTTGTCATCGCTCAGCGCTGTACTATCGCAAATGACGTAACCATTTCAAATTTCGTAAAATTTGCTACTGGCACCGCAATCGGAACTGGCTCTATTGTCCATGAATACGTAAAAACGAGAACGAATGTAACAATCAGGAACGGAGTAGAAGTAAATGATTTTGCATCCATTGGAAATGATGCGGAAATTCAAGACGACAGTTTTATCGATGAGTATGCCTCGATTGGTGCCGATGTCAAAGTAGCATCCAAAGTCTATATTGGCCAATTTTCATCGATCCAAGCGAATGCGATCATACGTGAATTGGCAATCATTCATGTATGCGTTAAAATACCAAGTGGCGCAACGGTAGAAAACAACGAAGTCGTAATTCGATCACCATCAACTTATGAATTGTATAAGAAGTGTGCAGTGATCAGCAGCATCTCAGATGCACAGTAAGATACATTTTTCGTCCCTTATCACGCTTTATTTTTTTGTTCTTTATTCGTTTTTAATAAATGTTCGCATCCATTCCAGAATTAAGATCGCAGCTGATAGAAGTTCTGTGCCGTAAGAGCAAACTTTCAATGAATCAATTGAATAACTTAGTGCAATCGAATACTCTATTTTATTTATAGTTCGGCTCCATTCAATGCAATGTTACGCCCACTGATCGATGCTCAGATCAATGGTGTGAAAACAAAATGTAACCATGGGAATATGACAACCAAACCAGACTTGGCCGTAATCAAAAGCTTGTATTTAATTCAATATTACGGCTTGGAACGGTAACATTTACTAAATCCACACAAAAATGATATTATTTTCTCAAATTGAATTTATATTTTAAAATGGCTTTTTTTCTTTAGTTTCAAAGAAGCGCAACCAAAAGCACATGGATGGAATATTGAAGTGATTAACGCGGTGGTTTACGTCGATGGATTCAGGTAAAAAAAAATCTTTTTTAATCAAGATTTTGAGATGAATTTTCATTCTTTTGATTTGTTCAATACGTGAAGGTTTGAGCCGGATTATCATTTTAGAGAAAATTCAGCAAAAAATATGTAAGTTAAACTTGAAAGCAAATTCAAAAGCACACAATTCGATATGACGACTATGCGACATATTCTTTAGATTGGAGTCTGATGTGAAGAAGAAGTTCATTCAACTATTGGAAATGGAAGAGGATTCTGAACGTAAAAATCGTGTTAAAAATGACACCTTCTGCTCGGTCACTGCACAAATACTAAACGGACAACGAGAATTAACTGTTGCAGAACCAAGCTGCCAACCGAATGTAGGCATCATCAATGATGGTGGTTTGAATCCCGGACACTAGGGGGATAGCGCTCTTACTTTGATGATAGAATCTATTCTTTTCATTCAAATCTAATAAAATCTACGGACTTTCTTTAGTTTTTAACTTAAACTGAGACAAAAAAGAGTGTCATTTGTTTATCCGATTTAAATATATTTCTTGGTGAGAGAAAAGGTATGAGTCATCCAAACACTGTTGTGCAGCACACAAGAACCATTCAAATTGATTTTGGTGAAAGAACACAATTCATGTCGTATATCATCTATTCGTCTAATGGATAATAGTGTGCTGTCGTCCAACCGCCCATTCGATGTAAAAGCATATGCTTTTTTCTTATCAGTAGATGTATAAAACTCTTGCTTCAATTAACTCGAAATATTAATTGAAATGATGATACAAAGCTCTTCGGTTGGTACTCTGTACTGTCTGCCAATACAAATTCCAGGTGTATCCTCTACGATTACAACACGGATATCCATATGGTTACGTTGGCACCTCTGACCTCAAATCTGAAATATTGTGTACGATTTGTATTTGGACGGTCAAACGCCAACCACGTGCGTACATAATCCCTAGGGGCCTCTAACTCTGAACGAATATTCCATATTACCACGTATAAACGCCGTATATTTTGTGCATATTTCACATATAACCCGCGTATACGCCGTATATTTTAACCATTTCTTATAAATAGAGATAAAAGCCCCTAGCATAATGCTTCCCAAAATTATCAAACAGTTTTGAATCATTTATTATTCTAACTGAATAGTATTCGTTGACAACTATTCAGTGAATACTCAGTCGCAGTAATATAGCACCAAAAAATATCTCACATTTATATCATACTTATTTACTGGATCTCTGCTATAACAATGTTTAATACTGAATAAATCAACAATGCTGGACTGGCTACATTTAAATGTATATAGTACGAAGATCTCATTTTGTATAAATAAATGAAACAAAAATTAAAAAATATGCACAGCTATCGCCTAAAAACAGGAGCCACAAATATCTCGAGATATAGCCGTATACAAAATGAGATCTCTTATATAATAATATAGTCACTTAGTCATGGCTGATGACGATAGGCTTTTTTGCTGTTGACACCAATGCAGTGTCCGCATAAATTACATATTTCGTTATCTGTCGCTCTCTGTGTCATCTGAATTGATATGTAACACAGAAGATGAACGAAAGTACAAGATGATCGATTGTCCTTTTGCACTTAACACATCGGTCAATAAGTCCCGAGCCTAACCACCAAGTGGCAAC